CATAAATTCAACATACAACAAAAAAGAACAAATCAAATTAAATGAAAGGTAGAAGAAGAAGAAAATAATCATATGATTTCTGCCCCTTTTCCTTAAATAAATTCAATCAAAAAAATCTTCAGTTTACAACGCACAAAAATGAAAGAAAAAACAATAAATTCCTTCTTGAGTAACAATTCAAGCCTAATACTCATACATATTTCTCCAACAGATTTACCTTTATCATTTTCTTAAACATACACATTGATCGGGCTTTTTTAACGTTATCCTCCAGATCATTCCATAATTTAACTCCCTGGACTTCAGCTTCAACTGGATGTAAACATACAGCAAGCCATTAGAGTCAAAATATAGAAATGTGTTTCAGACACAAGACGCCGTGGGGAAAAATTGATCTCATGTCCTGTGAATCACTTATCCCAAATTTAAATGAAATTGATCCAAGATCAATTGAATAGATTTTTTTTTTTACCCAGCCCTAGATATTAGACTACTGTCTGGTGTGGTAGTAGCTGCGACTGATCTGCAGCATGTACCCTGATCACACATGCTTCTCTTTTTAGACTGTTTTATTTGATACATCAGTTCTCATCATTTCTCAGGCTCTCAGCTCWGACAGATCAGGAGAGACATTATTTAGACACGTCTCTATAATTAAAGGTATTTTCAGAAAGTTAAAAAAAAATCGCATTAATGAGCTGCAGACGTTAGCGTTGGCCTTGATCAGGCTGCAGACGAAGCATTGCATGCATGATGTTGGTTTAATTTAGATAAGTGTTTTCCATGGAATAGCTTTTAACCTCTACTTTTACTGAACCATGTCACATTTTCACTTTTTTATCTAATGCACTTTGGACTTAACACAGCTCAAGATGGCAGCCACAGCYAACAAAAATAGCTTTAGATCTGCTTTTCATACAGATACTGAGCTAAAATCAGGAAGTATTCACAACACATACTGTGATGCTAACAGACCATGCTATTAGGGGTGCAAAGACACAGAAAATTCACGTTTCGATTCGGTTTGATACTTTAGTCTCACAGTTCGATATTTTTTCGATACAAAAARGAGAAATTTCCAYGTCCCTTTTAACTTGGAATTTACTTAAATTCATTAGGAACATTTGTTTAACCTCAAAAGTCCAGTTTTTAAATTAAATGTTGCTGAAACAGCAAGTTTCTCAGTGGATCTGA